ACTTCCAGTGGGATCCACACCACGTTGATGCCTTGCTTAACACATATTCTCAGTCTGTAAGATCTTGTTGGAATTCATCCAGTAGCAGGTCCCGAGGTGGCCAATGTCCTGGCCTCTCCTAATGAATGGGAGACCCTCCAGGCTTCAGCTAGGAGTTGGCTGGTCATCTCATTGATCCATTTCCCTTCCACACTACTGGCAGCTGGATACCCCAGTCTGGTCAAGCACTCTGCAGTTACTGCCCTGGAGATTTCATCTCTACATAAAGATCCTCAATACCAGGGTGCTGCTTTGAATTACTTGTGAAGTTTCTAGCTCATGCTGTAGGTCTTATTTTATGTTCTTCCAACCCTCTGCAAGTTCTGCAAGCAGCTACCATGTTTGCCCACCTTGGGCAGCAGGCTTGCCAGACCATGGTTTTGCTTCTAGGAAAATGCCTATGCACACCAGTGCTATTCCTCTTTTGACTCAGGCAGTTACCAAAGGGCTGGCTTCTGACAAGAAGAGAATTTATGTAGGAGCCGAGCATGTCTTTGATGAAAGCCTGTTAGATTACAAAGAACACAAGTCCTGCACCCCTGAACACAGCAAACAGCCCCAGAAAACAGCAAAAGAGAGGTTCTTCATGCAGCGCTCCAAGGCTCTTGCAAGTCCACTCATTCCCAAAGTGCTCTTTCCCCTTCTGCTTCTTCTCAGGACCATGTTCCTAGGCATAGGCACTGACTTTTATTATTGGCAGAGAGGGCTAAGGTGAAAAGTGGAAAGTTTTATGCATTTCAGGTGACAGCCCTCTTCCTGAGGGGGACCAGGGCCCTTGGGCCCCCGCATACTTGGCACCTCTGTTTCTAGGGTTTTCCTGGCTGGGGATGACTTGACATTTTCTCTCTCTACTTCTTCAGCCATTCAAATGTTCCTATAATTAGTCACCCCTATCCCTACACCCTGTCCAAGAGAGCTCGGCTTCCACAGCAAGTTGCTTCCATACTTTGTGCCTCAGTTTCCTCATCTGTAAAGTGGTGGCAATGACATTGACCTCCTTGACAAATAATGCAAGAGCTGGTGATAAAGAGCATTTGAGAGCCATGCATTTAGTTACTATCACCAGCCCAGGCAGCAGTAGCCCCAGCCTGGACACAGAGGACACTCTTGTGAAGGCCCCTTCCCCACAATGATGTGAAAAGAAGGATCTTTAGGTATTTAGACCTGAGATTCACTCCAGGTGAGGTCATCAAATTTTACCTGTTCTCCTGGCTCCTGACCATGTACAAAGGCCTCCCTCGCTGTAAGTGCCCCACAATGTCACAGGGCTGTGAGGCATTATGGCAGGGCCACTACCTATCTCCTACAGACAGTGGTCCAGGCACCTGCCCATCATTAATAACAGTGATTCCCTGGTCCTCCTGAAGCGACTCTGAATATGTAGCCGAGGGCACCTCTGCAGTACGTGGCACCTCTCCTAACAACAGGACTCTGAGGCATAGAGCAGAGGTGTTCTCTCTCTCTCTCTCTCTCTCACACACACACACCCCCCCTGAACTCAGAACTGCTACGTGGTTCTGTTGCCCTAATCCGAGTACAGGGAAGAATATGCCCCTGCTGCTTCCAAGATGTCCTTGGACACTAGACTGGACTTAGCCTGGTGCAATTAAGCCATAAATGTCTAGCTTGATGCTGCTGTCACCTACACTGATATACATCATGGGAGCTGACATCATCAGAGCTGCGCTGAAAGCATGGGTGAGGGCAGGATGTGGCCTGCAGAGGGTCCATGCATTTCTGAGCTATCAAAGAGCATGCCTGCCTGACCCTGCACTGGCTGGGAAGTGCTGGATCAGCAAACACCAAACCTGCAGAGAAACACAAGTTCATTGAAAAATGCAAGGGTCCTGCAATGCAAGGCCACCTTGACCCCACAGACTGGTGACCGCTATATCCCAAAGATTAGAAGCTGGACTATAAACCTCTCGCATCAGCTGCAGGTAGCACTGACTGGCTAAATACACTGCAGAGTGATTTCTCCAATAGATGCAGCTTTAGTCTGATCTTGGCTAAGTTAAACCCATATTCCTAGCAGACTCTCATATAATACCAGCAGCAGGGTCAATGCATTGTTTAGGCATGAAAAAATGAGGAATCAGGCAGGTGGGGGGCTGTAACAGAATATGTACCTTTTAGGTAAAAGGGAGGTTGGCCTTCAGGGAAAATTTGCTGTGCAGTTGCTATGCCCTTGAGCACACATGGGGGTGCATGATACATGATCACCAAGGCATACGAGGGTGATGTCCATCTTGGCTCCCTCCACTGGAGTGCTCTAGTGTTTGTAGTGTTTACAGGGATGGGGAAAGCACTTGACCCCCAGCCCCCAGTACCTCTCCTGCTGGGATTTTTTAAAACAGCATGAGAGCAACAGCACAGGTTGCAACCAGACAGTTTGTCTTTAAGATGCTTTGATCTGGTCTTTACCAAAGCCTGGAAGGCAAACTGCTGAGTGAAAACCAAGTATTCCATGTCCTGTCACTGGAATGATTCAAAGGGTACCACGTTAAACATTACTCCCTGCTTGCTTAAGTCCCTGTATTTCACTTCACTGGTGAAGGTGACCCTGAATCGCTGATTCACACTGCTGTTCAGTTCCCATGCCAGCCCAGGGGAAGTGGCCCTGACCATGTACAGCTCCCCGCCACTCTTATCTATTAGAGGACTGACCGGTCAAGGGGCCTTAAACTCACAGGCAGCTCAGAGCTTGTAGGGGAGCGCCCTCTGCTGGAGAAAAGTGGATCCAACACCCTGCCTGCCAGGTGAGGAGCATCTTGCTTTCTCCCCGGCCCAAACACAGATGCAGACCTCATAGACTGGGCCCACCCCAGACCAAAGCGCCTCCCTTTACAGATAGGGGTGGGGATGGAGAAAAACAGTTCTAACACTGGGCTAATCGCATCCCTTTGGCCCTGGGATAAATGAGCTGGCTCACAAGATTACACAAGAACGTTGATACTGGAAGGAAAAGAAACTCCTCACTGAAACCAAGATCATTGGTTCTCAGGACTGTAAAGCCACAGAAAACTTCCCAGCAGTAATTGTCATATTCCCATCCTTATTTGCTTACAGGTAATTCACATGGACAACTCGGTCCATAACTGAGCACTGTAGCAAGTGGGCTGGCTTAGAAAGGCTTACATACCCCACATCTCTAGACCTGAGGTCATTTGCTTTGCTGTCTAATTTTGAACAGTCCAGGTTGGACAGAAGCAAGATGAATCGTATTCATCCACCCTAAGGCTTTTATTCTACAACTGTAGGCCAGTTAACCTGACATCAGTCCAGGCAAGGCCATGAGAAGGCTCCTGTGACAGGCAGTCAAGAAACAGTTACAAGGATGAAGCAGCATTGCTATATAGTCTGTGGACTAAAATAATCCCAGGTTTGGTATAACAAGTACAGACAGTGGCATTGACTTAATAGGGTCCTATGGGGCATTTAGCTTAATCACTCATCATATCCTGATGCAAAAAAAGTGGCATAGAAGGTATAAAACTGCTAGTAAAATTTGCAGATGACAAAAATTGGTGAAGCGCCAGGTCCATTATTACATATACACATCTGATTTGCTTGGCAAGATGGGCCCCAAGGTAGAATTGAAAGGGACCTCACCTGCCTTCTCCAAGGCAGGATCAAGTTCCCTTGGATCATCCCCAACAGCTGTTTTTCTAACCTATCCTTAAGCCCCTAAACAAGGGAACCACAGAAAACCTCTTCCAAGCCTCTGCTACCATGGTCAGGACAACATTATTGAAGAGTCAAATGCAAGGCCAAGCCATCTAAGTTGGGAGGCAGTATCCTGGGACATTATTCCAAAAAGGTCTTAAAGACCCCAGTGCCCTTAGCTCCCAGTGCCCTGCTGCAGCAATAGGGGTAAACGATCCATGCGCATCTAAACAAGTGAACCGTATGTAGAATGGGGAGTGGTATTACCACCATGTGTAGTGCCCTCTTCTGGCATTCATACTCCAAAAAAACAGCTCTAGCAGTAATTACAGGTCTGGTAAGCATACCAGAGAGAGCAAGAGACTCCAGAAGCTTCATCTAAATTTAGTTGATCCAAGGATAGGAGGTGACTCCAAGATGATCTACATGTAACTGGAATGGGCAGAGATTTGTAAAAGAAGACTGTTTCAATCTGAGGGTAGATGCAAGATCCAGCAGCTCAAAGTGAACATAGACAAATTCCAACTACAGGAAACACTAACAGGGACAGGTTCCTGGAGAGGTGGTGTCATCATGAAGCCTTTCAACCAACACTGAGTGCTTTTCTAAGAGATCTGCTCTAGGCTTGACGCCCAAGTCCCTCAGTAAGGGTCTATGGCTGGCATTAGGAGGGAGGTCAAACTGGATGATCCCAATGGTCCTCTTTGGCCTTAAGACCCTTGTTCTCCTACTGCCTTTTGGCCAGGTACAGGGGCCCTGGGGTTTTCCTTGGCCAGTTCATTGGTTATCCCCATTCTCTTGTTTCTGGCTCAATCAGGCCTCCTTGCTTCTAGAGGTCACCTGTGGGTACTGTCCTGGGTGCATGATAGCAAAGTTAGATGCCTACCCCTCTTTCCATCTTCTTTCTTCAGCAACTCCTAGCTCCTCCTTATGTTTTCTCAACTTGGGCAACATAACGCATCGTGCATAACCCAGGATCCACCCCGCCTCTTCTAGTTTGGGCTCCACTCCCAACTGTGTCCCCTACTCCCTTCTGTATGAGGAACAATCTTTCAATCTTAATGGGGAAAGACAACATTGTTCTTCACATCTGCAGCTTCCAGGACACTGGCCTCTGTATCTAGGCCTTAAATGGCAGCTTCTGTGCACAGCCTTAGCACTTCAGGTGTGACAATTAACTGCAATGCAGATGCTAAACATAGCTAACTAAAGCTCAGTTAGCTGGCCACGTGGGAATAGCAGGCTGAGCCAGTAAGCCAGGGGTTAGCACATGTATATGACACAGAGATTGGGGATGAATGGTCTCTCCATATGTTTTAATTCTCACAGTCAACACTGAGGATAAAACCCTGTACCCATGCAAGTCAATGGCACTAAGACAATGCATAGATCCATATATCTGAAGGACCTGGAGGCCCACAACTTCCCCATGCACCAGATTCAGCTCCCTCCCACCAGAAGCTTCCCAAGAGCATGGAGCTTCATTAAAGATGAGGGCTCCAACCCAAGGCAAGGCAGCAGAGCCCAGTGAGCCTCAGGGCAGGGAAGTGGAAAGGTCAGCTCCAGTTTCAGCACTGCTGCTGCCAGGCACGGCCATGTCAATAGCCCTCATCGGCCCAGGTAACCTCATAGTCGGGGTACTTGGCTTTCAGCTTCTCTGTAGACACGGAGTGTTTTGCACGACCAAAGCCCTGGAGGGAGAGGAGGAAAAAGAATCAGACCATGAAGGAGGTGCTGGTAGCCATGCAAAGCACATCCTAGGAGAGCCTGCAGGACCCAGCCCTGAGCCATTAGAGGATCTGGTAGGATGAGAAGCGGAAAGAACTAGGCAACAATCCTGGATCTAAAAATACTAAGCAGTCCCAACTGATGCCTGGCAGCAGTCCACAGATCACACTGCAGCCTGGTGCTGGGCACCAGACACATAGGCATCAATCGGCTGAGCCTGGGACGGCGCAAGCCATAAATGCTGTGCCCCCCCAGAAGCTGGGGGGCACGGCAACCGGCTGCAGGTGGCGGTGGTGGTGTCAACGGCAAGCAGGGAGCGCCTGCAGTGGTGTTGGCAGGGTGACAAGCACAACCACCCAGATGCTGCCATCAGCAGCGCTTTTTACAGAGGGTGCACCCCCTGTGTGTCGCCAGTGGTTCAAACCCTTCCAGCCTCGCCCTGCCCTGGGCCTCGGAGGGACCGGTGCGGGATGGGCCTTGAGTGGCAGCCTCCACAGGGGACACAGCAGTGAACACAGCATGCGCACAGCTCTGGCTGGGTTTCATTAGGGCCTGCTCCTAGCAGAGGGAGAAGAGTCCCAGGAGAGTGAGTCCAGCCCTCACAGAAGCAGGGAGCCCCTGTGGCTCTCCCCATTCCCAGAAACGGCCCAGCCCAAAAACTGCTGGGGAAAACCAGGCCACTGCCGACCCTGCCTGTGCTACTGGGGTTCTGGCCACAAGCCACAACAGCGAAAGCACCAGCACCGCCCCACTCGCCGCCTTTCTTTGCCATCCAAGCAGGCAAAAACAGCAAGCCCAGCCTGTGATGCCTGCCCCACGCCAGCGAGCACACAGCCCTGCCAGGCCTTGTCGTCACCCGGGGCGGCCCCGGCAAGCGCCAGCTCCCAGCTCCCACGCACACCTCGGCTGCGGGGAAGCCAGCGGAGGCCAGAGCCCGGGCGCCGGGTGTGGGTCCAGCCCCAGCATGGGGGCCACGTGGAAGACCCCGGCCCGGCCAGGAGCAGAACCGCGGCCCGGCCCGGCCGAGGGAGGAAGAAGGAGGGTCCCGCACTCACCACCGAGTAACCGTAGACGTGGATCCGGCGCTCGGCGCTGCGGTGAGCGATGCGGCCGCCGCCCAGGCACTCGCACTTGAAGCCGCGCGGCTCCAGCTCTGCGGCCGCCTGCTCGTAGATGTCGGCTGTGCAGGGCGGGGGTTTGTGCAGGCAGACCCCGCTGGGCCCCCACCCGGGACGCGGCCCCGGCCCCGGAGCACCCGGCCTTCCCCGACAGGCACTGAGCTGTCGGCCC